AATGAAAGAAAATGTTTTGTAATGCTTACTTGAATCTATTTGTCAGTTAACTTCTTATGTTAAATTGATAGCTTCAGTTGGTTATGGTCCACTTATGAATCTCCCTATCAATGTGTATTGGTAGACCTGAAAATGCTCTGACTAAAATTATTTTTTGTGCGCTAATTCATTTCTGAGCCATATTGAAACTTGAACAAGCTCCGTAAAGGGACATGTATAGATATCTAATATCATTGCCAATTATGATTTATTTTTGCCTAATTGTTATGTGGCAGAAAATTATAAATTGGATCTTTCAGGAATCAGGATTTAGTTATAAGTTTCAGTAATTTAATACTAATAATTTTCTTATCTATTGATTGGATCTATTTCGTATTTATTGATTGGATATATGTGTATATGCCTGTATATGTATAGATGAACTAGGGTCTCCTTTTTTTGGCTGTTGTAGTGATTAGAACCCTCATCCTCTTAAACAAGAGGGGAGGACATAACTACTTCACTAAGGACAAATGATTGATTATATTCAATTTTTTTGTGGTAGGAAATTTCTTTTTTGAAGTAAAACAAAAAAAATTACAACCACCAAAAATAAATTTGCCCTTGACTTCCTAAATTTACTTTAAAGCTGCAAAAACACTATCCTTGTAGATATTTTTCTCCAAAGCAACCTTGACCTGGGTCATGTGAGTTATGAATCTATATGCATCGACTATTCCTCACTAAGTGCATTAATATCTATTATGTCAGTGCTTTCTTGAGGGGAGTCGTCAACTAATGCGTTTGCCCCCTCGCCATTCAACTGCTGAAGCTGATCTTATGGTACCATTTCAGCTGGTATGTTAATGGACATGAAAGAGTTTAGCTGCTTTATGTTAGGTTAATGGTTAATAAACAAACTCATGACTGTACCTGTAATGCAGGCAGCAATAAAGACGATTGGTGAGGAAGACAAATATTTTTCTAGAGTATCACTACGGTTAGAGACTATTTTGACTTTTTTATGTTCTATTTGGCCATATAGCCGATTTTCCCAGTTGTCTAACATTTTCTACTTCTATGAAAAATACATGCTTAACCGTTTTCATGCATCTCTCAGGATGCTTTCGTATGGAATCACAGTTAAATCTTCTAAAGTTGATTTGCCAAAGCCAAAAGCATATGTTGATGGAAACTCAGGTGTTGCACACTTGAGCACATCTTCAGATGTATCCCTTGATGGCTGGGATGGTATTGCTCTTGAATATTCTGTTGACTGGCCCTTGCAGTTGTTTTTTACCCAAGAAGTGCTCTCCAAGTAAGATTCTATCAGCTGTCACTACCTTTTAATCCTATGTTTTAAACTGTTGAAGTTAAGGCTAGTTTTTTTGAGATTTTTTATCATCTGTCCTTTGGAGGAGAGGAAAAGACCTTTGAAACATAGAAGCGTGCTTTTGAATTATTTTTTCTCGGGAAAACAGTTACAGAAAACTTTGAAGTCTGTCGTTGCTTAGTTCAGCCTTTTTTGGGGGAAAAAAATACTTACAAAGAATATGCTTCAGGTACTGTAGGATCTTCCAGTATTTGTTGCGGCTAAAGAGAACTCAAATGGAATTGGAGAAATCATGGGCATCTGTGATGCACCAAGATCACACTGATTTTGCCAACCGCAATGACCACATGAAATGTTCAATATCTCAGCAACGGCGGCAATGCTTTAGACCTATGTGGCGTGTTAGGGAGCATATGGCATTTTTAATAAGAAATCTTCAATTTTATATCCAGGTATAAGACCTCATGGTTTTTACTTGTGGTTTTGCCAACTTTTCTTCACAAAACCATTCATGAAGAGAAAATTTTACACATTCATATCCTACCAATGTCATGATTTGATGATTCTGTTCCTTATACCCATCCTTTAGAATGTGCAACCCTTTTTGTTTCTATGCATTCATTGCTTGTGTTGATATGAAGATTTCAAGTTGCTTATGTATCACTTGGTTAAGATTTCTGCAAATTGTGTAAAGCAGTGACTTTATGATCCAATACTTGAGCACAAACAAAACCTCATGGTATGAGGACTGAGATATCAATGCACAAGGCTTCCAGGATGGAGCTATAAACTCAACTAATTTGACCCTCATAATTTTCATGTTCTGATGTATTACACTGCCTTGTTAATCAGAGTAAGTTTATCTGTATTGGGGAGAGGAATTCAATAATTGGATCTCTTTTTGGGACATTTTTCTGTCTCCATATGCTACGTTTATTGAATGGATTACCGACAAAGGAACTTTTAGTATTAAAATATTAACTTTTTATGAAGAACTTATATGATTAAAACGTGATGCAGTAAACTTCATCCTTTAAAATGGTCACTGATTGATTAACTATGAATATGCTGAATCATTTCTCTCGCACTTCCTGTTTAAGGTTGATGTGATAGAATCCCAATGGAAAGTTCTACAAGCTCATATTCAGGATTCTCGTGATTTCACTGAACTTGTCGGTTTCCATCAGGAGTAAGTGAATGTTTTTTCAATTCATTTTCCGGTTGCATCTTGTTTCTTTTTTAGATATTATTTTATAAATTATTCAATTATGATGGAAGGTTACTAAGCTAAAGACTTTAGTATGCTCTCAGTGCTCTAAAGCCCACACCAAATATGGACCAAGCTGTTTCATGATGTTTTGAACCCAGTTCACTTACCGCTTTAGTGGGCAAACAGCCCAACCCTTGGAACATATTAAGGCCTCAGGTGGCGAAGAGCCGACATCGAGGTGTCAAACCTTCCCGTCGATGCGAGCTCTTGGGGCAGATCGGCTTATTATTCCTAAAGTAACTTTTATCCATTGAGTGACAGCCATTCCATTTGGCACTATCGGATTACTAAGGCCGACTTTCTTCCCTGCTCGACAGGTGGGTCTTGCAGTCAAGTTCCCTTCTGCCTTTGCACTTGAGGGCCAATCTCTGTCCGGCGCGAGGAAAGTTTTGCATGCCTCCATTACCTTTTGGGAGGCCTATGCCTCATAGGGACTATTTACCCAAGTTGCTTCAAGGATAAATTCCTTGTGCTCATTGTTATTTAGCATACAAAACTGAAGGTGAAAGATTTATTACAATTTATGTGCCATCCTAATTCATGGCAGTATGGTAACCTACATTTAGTTCTAAGCTTAAATTTTGTTGTCTTATAAATTTATGAGTTGTTGTTTTGTTCTGACCTCTTTCAAGCATAAGTTATCAGCTCACAAGCTGTCAGAGTTTAAACTATAGCTGAATGCTTATGTGCTTCTTATGTTGCTGGCAGGTATTTATCAGCTCTTATTTCTCAGTCGTTCTTGGACATTGGTTCTGTGTCAAGGATACTGGATAGTATTATGAAACTTTGCCTTCAGTTTTGTTGGAACATAGAGAACCAAAAAAGTAATGCAAATACAATTGAACTTGAACATATAACTGAGGTATGTCATGATGTTTTCCATTTGCTTTGATATGATACAGAGCTTAAAATGTTGCCTTGGGTATAACCTCTTTAATTTAGTCATCTTTCTCATGCTTTTGAGTTTGAATCATGCATGACTTAGTCTTTGTATTGGTTGGTACTTTCATCAACTAATGGTATTCTTGGAGATTTTCTCTCCCTCTTTCTTGAAGAAGTCTCTAATCTTTTTGCAGATATATAGTTTCTGTTTTAATTTCCCATGAGGGAAAAGGTGACTGTGCTCCTCAATTAGATAAACCTCAAGCCCTGCAGCTAGTTTGCTTGCATAAATCCATGCTGACCAGTTAGCAGAAAGCTCCAAATTCTTAAGTATACTTTAACAAAAAAATTTGAAAGGGGAATTAAAGCTCAGGCCATCTTGGCCATAGTGCCAGAAATCTCCTTATGAGGAGGGCGTAATGTCAAGGGTTTGAACCCATATTTCATGTACACCAATAAAAAAGGGAACTAAGGACAAGTCAATAACAAATTTTTTCCTTGTAATTTTTAAGTGAGAGGCTGACTAACTGGTTGAGTATTTGGGTTTTCTTAGATGTATCGTTACCACCTCAATCTCATGTACTCATTCACTTGTTCTATCTTTCAAACACACACGTGCGAGCACATTGTAGATGACATTTTTCATTTTGCCTGCAACCTTCTGTGCTTTGTCTGAGATGATCCCGGACGGGGTTGATCAAGGTAATATCAGAATATTGATCTGCCTGAAATATCAGCATGTTGCCTGTATAATCTGGGCTGTTATCATGCATATCCAAGTGGTTCAATAGGCTGTATGTTCCTCTTTAAATATCAATTATTTTTACATTTATCCAAGGGAATGATGCTACGATTTCTAAATATTATTTTATTCACTTTTGACAGGAATTTAACAAAAAGTCAAACTCCTTATACACTATATTGCGCAGTAGCAGGCTTGCTGGGAGTCAGCGAGCCCCATTTTTGAGGCGGTTTCTTCTGCGTCTAAATTTCAATTCCTTCTTTGAGGTAATTTCATGTGTCCCAATACTTATCTTGTTAAAATTACTGTTTCAATCATTTAACATAGTATTGGAATAAAATATCTATTGTTCAAATCTTGACTATGATCCCGTTTCTGTTAACTAAATTCAAGATGAATGAAGGTTGGTTTTCCTCTTTGTGTTTATTCAACGTATGAAGCCTACCAGGTTTATGTGTGTTTGAGGGACGTATTAATTTGTAAATCTTCTGTTAGGTTCCTTCTTATAAGCTTAAGCGAATGAGATTCTTAGGAACAATCAATTATTTAGTACATCACGGGGAATAGGCATAGCTCTTCAGTTTCTGATAGATGGCTGTTTTCGTTGATTGACAGGCAACTGCAAGAGGTGTGCTGAATGTTGTAAGACCCCGGCCAACACTTCCTATTCTGAATCAACAATAGGATTAAACTTTCCCAATTCACAAACGCTTCCAACAATTTTCTTGGTCACAGCCCAGCACCAAGTTTCGTCCATGATTTCTGCACTGATGGAATCCAAGTGAATATTTATATCCTGCTTCTCTTCTCTTGAATTGTAGATGGCAATTCAGGTATTGGGCTTGAGGCTGCAGTTTCTTCCCTGCTCAGAGTTGACACATTAGTAAAGCATTTTTTCAAAAAACCAGTAAGGCCTTCTATGGAAGCTGTTCGGTGCTGCTTGGAAAGCAAGGTTGTCTTTGTAATTGCTAATCGGTCTGATTTGATACCTGAATGCAAGGGTCTTTCTGGTGGCTAGCTGCTAATGCACTTCTGGATGTTGTTTGTAAAGTGTGTTTCTTTTTATTTGCTTGTAAAGTGAACTAATTTTGGGAGGTGAAAATGCAGAAATTCTGAATTATAATCACATGTGTAAAACAGCAGAACGTGTCACAATTGCTACATTACGTCTCTGTACAGTCTGATAATTTATCAACAAACAATATGAAGAACTCAAGGTGCAATTGCAATTACAAATGTCTTTTTCATTTACAGTTAAAGCTCTTCAAATCCTTCTTCGTCCCCTTCTTCTTCTATCCTCTGAAACTCTCTCCTCCATGTTTCCATCTGTCAATCCCTCGAAGGAGATGTACATTAGATAAGCAAAATAACAAATATTTACTGTATGGAGAATTGTACAGTACCTTGGAAGAATTTTAAGGTATCATACCGTACAGCACATAGCCATTTGCGTTGCGTTTAGTTTAGTACTCTTCAATTCTCATCCAAATCTTTAAACTTTCAATTATTTGATATGCAGAACACTTAATACGAATTGGGAATTGAATGGAAAGGAGAATATAATACAAAAAAGATAAAAATTTGAAAGCAAATAGCATTTCAACTCTGAAAATAGAAAAGAACATGATACAAACAAAATAAATTTTCTAAAAAAATTAAGATTCCAATTCGAAGGCAATTCCATCAAATTGAAATGTGAAGCAAAATCAAACTTACGGTGGTCGAATTGCCAAAGTAGGATAACATTTTGTAACTAGTTTTGGCTATTAGTGATTACCACATTTTAAGTTTTCAGATGCATATGCAAGTTTTTAAATAAAAGTCTGGGTTTGATTCACTAATTACCGAGAAGGATTGTATAAAAGTTAGGTTGGATTTGCATGCGTGCTACAATGTATCATAATCTTTCTTATCTGTAACTCAAAGAACAAGTTAATTCACCTGGTCATCAGAAAATCTCAATTGCTCTGCAACAAATAGTATATTATCATAGCCTCCTGGTGATAATTCCTTGCCAAAGCTCCTCGCTAGATGACTGAAGCTGATAATGTCCACCCTGAAGCCATTCCTCATGAAAAGTTTGTCCGTCCATTTCTTTGTATCCGACTGTAGAAGACCAAGCAAGCTTTCTTAGGGGAAAACATAATCGACAGAGAAACACTGAGTGCGTGGAAAATAAAGGAAAGTGACCTTAATCCCAACTTCAGTTTCTGCCAACCACACAGGCAATTCTCCCATGAAAAGGCATCCTTTCGTAGCCAAACCACTTACAAGGTATAGAATCTCTTTGAAACTTGCCAAAGTCATCACTGGTAGACCCTACAAGAACATGCCAAGTATTCTACTCAAAATCATTCCTTAAAACAAAGTTTCCATGTTATAATTACGGTATGCTTTAAGAGCCTTTATCACCTGGATGACCCATGTACTCGGACGACTACCGCTGAAGCCTTTTGAGCGCAGAGTTTCTTCTATGCCTGGAGATTCCATGGGAACATGAAGTGCCAAGCAACTCCTGAGAAGCTTAGCCCCAACAGCTGTTTCGTACAAAGACAATATGGGATTACTACTAAGCCAGACAAGTAGGAGAAACATTTAGAATAATCAGAACCTAATTGAAATTCGATAGCAGATCAATGAAAAGAAAACTAGAAATTTGAAAATAGACTATTTGTCTAAATGAAGCCAGGATTTTTGGATGTCATTCTGCGATTCAGAATCTATCATATGCTGAAATGCGAATACTTTTTCGAGTATGACACCTGCATATGTGAAGCTTTTGTTGATAGAATGTAACTCGGTTACATAGACTACAAAAAAGAAGATAACAATGTCCTTAAATTATCCTTCAATTTAGTCACCACAGATTGTAAAACAATTGGGCACTCACAATCTTTTGCAATGACATTGTGCTATGAGTATATACTAGTAAAAAATTTTAGTCAGGAAGATGAACCTTCAAGCTTCTCAGCTGAACTTCTGAAAATCCTTTCTGGGGATATATCAAAAATTATGGTTGAGGCTGGCCAGTTAAGCCTATAAGGTCGAGTATCCATGCCATCTGTTAATAGAACAACCTGCAGAGTATCAGTAGGGAGCTAAAAATACTTTCACAGTGGGCAAACTAGCCAAAATTCAATTAAACCCATGTTGGAAAGACTGCTAAATTACCTGCTTGACTCCATCAATTTGGTTCAATGAACTAAGCAACTTGCCATCGATGAACTTCGTTGCAAGACAATAATGGTCCGAGCAATTGTTAAGATCAACCTGAGCGTTAGGAGGAACAAAGCAACCAGCATATGGATCCACGAAAAGGGGCTCTACGGATAAAGACATTTAGTCAGATATTTAGCATACACCTTATACATGTATATATCTTTTTATTACTTAAAAATTGAAGTATATCAGCCGTTTGAAAACAGTAGCACAACTGATTAGCAGAGAAGAACTTTTGCAAAGAGAGTTTAAGTTCAAGCAAACTGATACCCGTAAAACAATGACGTTACACTATATATATATCAGAGACCAAGCGATCACTTGCAGAGCTGCCAAGAATATTTGGACTTTGCATAGCCAAAGCCTAAAAGTGAAGCAGTAAAACCACTTTATCCGCGAAACTCGCGCACAATAGACTCAGATAAACCGTTTTGAATCATTTGGATACGCAAAATGATTACTATAATTAACCCAAGCACATAACTTTCGTTATTTATGATACGTTCACTAACTGCTCGACAAAATGCCGCAAAGAAAAAGAAACAACGAATGGCACGTAGAGAGTGATTACCAGGTCGATGGGTCTCCCGTAAACGAAGAGAAGCGGCATTAATGGCGGATTGGAGTAATGGGTCAGCTTCATCGTTGAGTTTCGCTCCAACCCACCTGTTCTTCCGCACTGGCGTTCTTAGCGGCGGGCGGACGACGCAAAATCTACTTAAACATTCCATTATTCACCTGTAAAAAGTTGGGGGAGAAGAGACTAGTCAGGCTACGAAATGTTCGCTGGCGGGTGAATTCAACTTAGTCAATATGGATTTTATCATTTCACCCTTAGAACTAAAATCTCACTACGGTCTTAAAATAATTTAAAAACTCATTATCTTAAAATCACATTTAATTTTAAACTATTATTTATAAAATTTAAATTTAAATTATTTAATAAACAAATCTTGGTAAACTAAATTAAATTTTTTCAAAACAAAATTAAAAATTCAACACATCATACTACTGATAATAAATTTATAAAATAATAAATTTTAAGTACTTAATTAAATAATTTTTAAATAAAAAAATGAATTATATAAATCTCAAAATATAAATAAGAAAATATTTTGGGTCTTCCCAAATTCCTTTGGCTTGAATTTTCTCATAAGGTTTTTTCCCCTCTTACCAACCCATGATGTAGAATCTCCAAAATGCCCCTACATTAGTTGGAATGTGACAATAAATATTGAAAATCAAGTGGGGCCAAAATTGTAATAAAGAAAAATGCTTTTATGGTAGGTGTGGTCGTTGGACACAACTCCTTGTTAAACTATTTGCAAGTTTTAGGTGGTGATTTTTATTTTTAATTATTTGAAATTTTAATAATAATAATAATAATTGTGAGATTTATTAAAATTTTCAATAATTTCAATTGATCTTTTTTTTATATAATTATGTGGAGGGTAAAAATTAGTTTAATGCATAAAAATAATTTGTAATTTTAAATTTATATGTATTTATTCTCAAATTAATTTTGAAATGATAATAAAAAAAAATTAATATTATTTTAATGGTATTTATTTGTATTTTAGTTATTTTATAAATAAATAAATAAATTTATATATTTTTATGAATAAATGTATGTAATAAAAACCTTAAATTTTTTTAGATAATAATTGTTTTTTTTTTCTAATTAAATTGGGAAATTTTGTAAGTGCAAACTTGAAAAAATTTATTATAAAAATTAGAAGATATATTAATTGGAAAAATAAATATAAAATCTATTATTTAAAAAAAAAAAAACAAAAATTATTACAAAATCCAAACCTGAAAAACTTGCGACCTCCTATCCTCACCAAACACACGACGCACCTTCTTCTTCTTCTTCTAGCTTTGGGGCATCTGTGAAGGTAAGCAATCAAAAAACCAGAAGAGCAGAGTCCTTTGCTCATCCAAAAATGGTTTCCTCTCTTCAAATCACTGAAAACCCAGAACCCAAATCCGCCGATGAGGAAAACCCAGTCGCCATTATTGCTTCTCCCCCGCCATTTCTTCCTGTTGCCTCTATCTCTCTTTCTCTCTCTACCATCCTCTCCAATCCCACCGCCTTCTCCTTCCTTCAACCCAAAATCTCTGCGTTATTTTCTCACCATCCAAACAAGGTAAAAGTCCCGACTCAGGCGTCGTCTCTCTCTCACCTTTCTCTTTCTTCTTCATCCTCTAATTTCTCTCCTACCAGAATCTCCTTCAAGTCCACAATCGCCGCTAACCCTCTCCAGTCCCCTCTTTCTCTCGGCCCCCGCCGCCCGCTCGACCCCTCAAACGGTGCCGCACTTCGTCGAGCTTCCATCGTCTGGTTCCGCAACGACCTCCGCGTCCATGACAATGAATGTCTCCACACCGCCAACGAGGAGTCCATGTCGGTTTTACCCGTATACTGTTTCGATCCTCGAGAATACGGAAAATCATCTTCTGGGTTTGATAAGACCGGCCCTTTTCGCGCCCAATTTTTGATTGAATCAGTCTCTGATCTCCGGAAGAATCTCCAGGCAAGAGGGTCCGATCTCGTGGTCCGGTTCGGGAAACCAGAAACTGTTCTGGTTGAATTAGCGAAAGCGATTGGAGCAGACGCGGTTTACTCACAGCGAGAGGTGTCACATGACGAGGTTAAGGCGGAGGAGAAGATTGAAGCGGCCATGAAAGAGGAAGGAATGGAAGTGAAATACTTATGGGGAAGTACTTTGTATCATATCGATGATTTGCCTTTTAAATTGGAGGATATGCCGACTAATTATGGCGGGTTCAGAGAGAAAGTGAAGGGATTAGAGGTGAGGAAGACGATTGATGCATTGGATCAGTTGAAGGGTTTGCCATCTCGTGGAGATGTGGAGCCTGGGGAGATTCCTTCTCTGATGGATCTCGGGCTTAACCCAAGTGCTACAATGACTCAGGTTTAATTTAAATCCTCTTGCTTGAAACCCATTAAAGCTCTGTTAGCTTCCAGTGGATATAGTTTTAGCTTGTTCATCTTTTAGTTTTCTTCCTGTTTTATTTTCATCCCACTTCCTAGTTAATTATTCATTTGAAGGTAGATATTGGTTGTAATTTATAAAAAAAAAATTTAAATGGAATCAGAGATAGAATTTACTAAATATTGGAAATTAAAATGGTATTTTCATTCAAATTTATGTATTTGTATTTTTATTCCATAAAGTTAGAATTTAAGCCAAACTAAAGCATGGATTTTGTCAAGTTCTGTTTGAGTTTGTGCTGTTTATGGGACAAGCAGGATACAAATTAATTATCTTTTTAGGTTGTTGAATGTTGAAATTTAAAGTTAAAAGATTTTACAAATCTATTAGTTGATAATCTCTTGTTGTTGTCTGCTTATCTTTCATTGATTTCCTTGCATATTGCAATTTGATATATGTTTTTGTTATGAAGATAAACTGAAATGTATTTAACTTTAGATGCCTTTTCTCTTTTCCATACCTTGGTTAAAAAGTACTCTTTAAGTTTTCCTTGGAAAAATTCAAAGAGAGTTATATAAAGAAGTCCCGACTTTGAATCTTGGTGTACTGCTATGGTGTTTGATATTCATGGATTGTCCCTATTTCTTGGTGCTTAGTCATTATAGTTTACTCGCTCATAGATTCCAATTAACTATGATAAGAAGCATTTCTGCTGTAAACATAGGCAATTGGCTAAGTTTTCTTATCTCATATACCCTTTTCTTTCTTCCCAGCTTTTTTATAATGATGATTTGTAATTAATTTTCATTCAGGGAGGAAAGCCAGTTACTAATGCATCCATGGTGGGAGGAGAGACTGAAGCTTTGCAGAGGCTTAAGAAATTTGCTGCCGAGTGTCAAGCACAACCAAACAAGGGAAATAGGGATGGTGGCAATGACAGTATATATGGTGCCAACTTCTCTTGCAAAATTTCTCCGTGGCTAGCCATGGGATGTATCTCACCTCGTTCCATGTTTGATGAGCTAAAGAAAACAGTGACAAGGTATTCTGCAAAATGCCACTGTTTTCACAAGAAGGGAAAAGAAAAAGAAAAAGAAAAAGAATCTGATATTTCTCGGATATTACCAAATGGATGGTTGTTTTGAATAATTTTTATGTGATTTGATTGGTAGGAATGTTTATGCTGAATCAAAAAAGAATAGTGGTGGCAATGGATCGGGCGATACTGGAACAAACTGGTTGATGTTCGAGTTATTATGGAGGGATTTCTTCAGGTAACTCCACAGCCTGTACAGCTCCATTCTTACTCACTTCAACAAGAACTTTTTATATCCCAGTGGTTCATTTGCTAATGCGTTACAACTGGTTTTCTTGCAGATTCATCACTAAAAAGTACAGTTGTGCAAAGAGGCAGACTGAGGCTGCTCCAGCCACAGCTTGCACCGGTGCCCTTGCTTAGGCAAAGTTTCTGTCGTTGGCGGAGGATGAAATTTAATTTACCGTGGTGGGTTTGTTTGGAATTCCTCAGGAACTCAATTTTTAATCATTAGACCGAGAAATGATACACTTATGAAGGTCTTTATAATTTCCATTTTACTAACTGGCGTTGCAGTTGGCGAAGAAGAAAACATTGTCGCGACTATACACCTGTGTACTCTTATGTCAGTTCGGAAATGATTTTTTGTAAAAATCTTTGTACGAGTAAAGTATTGCTCTTTTAGATCTTCGAATGCAGATGGAGACGAGAGAGTTGTTTTCTTTGGATTTTTTTCTCGTGTGCATGCTTCTCCATGAATCACAGACCGTATGAGTAAACTATCTGGCCTCTATGGCAGGTTTAAATTACCGTATGAAGGAGAAAAAAGAAAGATCAGGTGAAGTTGAACTTTTGCAGTGAATTGCTTATTTTTCATTTGGTTTATACCAATCTTATTCTTTATTTTTCTAGAAGCCATAAAGGTGGATTTTACTAACCTATTTATTTGTGCGAGAAGTTTGGTATGAGTGAGTTACAGCATAAAAACCCATTCTATGATATAACTAGGTTTAAGTCCAATTTGGTTTAATTTGTAGTAATTATAAAATTTATAAAAATTGAAAATTTACTAGAAAATAATTCAAACATGAATAATTCATAGTAAGTGTTAAAATGTATTATATTTACGAGACATATATACATACATATATATATATATATATTAATCATAAAGGTGATACATAATTCAACTTTAACTTACAATCTTATATAAAAACAAAAAATCACCAACCATTCTACTAATGCTTTATATTACAAGGGAATTTAAAATCTTGCTTTTAAGAGTCCTTTTACTTCGAGGGAGTATAATAGGAAAAAGAAGAATATATTTTCTACCCAATAATCACTAAAGAGAAGGGGGCAGGGATGAAAGAAGTAAAGATTACAACTTGAGCTTTTTCTTATATGATGCCAGAAACTCTAAGGGAAGAAAGCACAACAAAAATAATCCAGAGCAACATGAAGTACACACAGGTAACCCAAGCCCAGAATCTAGGCCCTCCGAGCTCGGCACCGAGAGTTAGACGCCTGAACACCAGAACAGCAATGCAACCTACAGAAGTAGAGAAGAATACAAGCAGAGAGAAGCTTAGTCCCTCTGCATTCTGAATCCCTAAGGGTTCCCTATAGGCGAAGAAATTGTACAGAGTGTTGATCAGCCATGGAACACCGATGCCCACGTATATATTTACCGAGTTGCTGTAAAATGAGAGAGAAAAAAGAATTATACGAGATGGAGCAAAGAACATAATGCTAATTAGAATCAATAAATCCAGAGATTATCTAAAAAGGAAGGGGTATGGAAAAACTTGAGTTAATGTTTCGCTAGTTTGCATTCAAATAAAGTTACAAAGAAGTGAAAGCAATTCTTGAAATAAATTGTGTCTCTCTGTCAATATCCTTCTAATTTCAGTTCATCACCATCAAGTGGCAAGGTGTCAGAACAATGACCGAGAAACATGCATTTGTATTATTTTAATTTGGTTCCAAATAGTAAAATAATTATCATTTGACAGACACTAGTTCTAACATGCATAGATTCCAATGGTTGATTCAACGCATGGCTCAATTTCTTTTTTTCTTTTAAAAAAAAAAAAAAATCGATTGTACTTTGCTTCTTCAAAACTGAGTATATGTAGTCTTTCACTGTTTAACACCTATTGTTGTTATGTCTTTCTTAAAATATTTTGAAGAACCTCCAGGTAGAACCACTGACATCTATTCATCATGGTTATAAGTTTGTCGTCTAAAGACTCGTGCACTAATTTAAGATTCAATGAGTCGAACCTGCAAGTGATGTTTGCAATTGCAGAATCTGCAGTTATTTGACGTTCGACAGCAATCTTGCTTGCTACCAGATCTGGCCACGAAGTTCCGCATGCCAGTGCTGTAAAAGCTATGACATAAGGATTAATTCCTGCAGAGAAGGGGACATATGAAGGTATGAGGAGTCACTGGCAATACTATGAGCAGAATCATATTTCTCAAACTATGGAAACAACATTGGGAATTTGACTTGTGGAGCAAAGAGAAACCTGTGACGCAGCTTACGAGATCTGTGAGCTTTGTTACGATGTAGGATATCCCACTGATGAAAAGGAGAGAACAAACGAATGCAATCCAACCATGAGAAATATGATAAGGAGGCACAAAAGCAAACATGAATCTCCATGGTGCAAGAAGTGACTGCCAAACTATTCTTGCAAGCTGTAAATAAATATTATCCAATTTTCTTGAGTCTGATTTTTCCACCTGTCAAAGGAACTGAAACTTATTAACTATTCTTGCAAGCCGTAAATAAATATTATCCAGTTTTCTTGACTCTAATTTTTCCACCTGTCAATAGGAACTAAAAGTTATTAACTAGAATTCATCAGAAAAGTTGAAGGAGAAAAAAATATAGCAATATGTACAAAATAGACTAATATAAAAGATACATTGCATAAGATATAAATTACAGGACCACAATAATCATATCACGCTCCTACATGAAGTTTCAAACCATATATTGAACAATTCTTAAGATTAATGTTCGGCCTCCAGATACGATCTTGAATTGGATAATGTTATAGAGTTTATGCTTATGTTATTGATCGTCAGCAACATTTTAATAATTGATTTTTTTCTTTTTCAAGTGGGACAATTTTAAAAAACAATAATGCAATTACTAAAAGACTCTGTTCATAATCCATGATTGTCAGCCCAGTCTTTCTATAACAATTTCATATAGAAATTTTCCGCCATCAGCTAGCATAAACAAGTTCAGAGTACTGTAGATGAATATGGTACCTTGAATATATCCACAAACTGCTGTTTCCAAAGTGTAAGAACATTGGGATCCTCCAAAAGTATCTCCTTGCGAGAAGATTTGCCAGAAGGTTCAGGAATATTTTCATCAGCAGGTACTTTTTGATACTCTGAACCACCAAAATTGAATTTAAGGAGAAACTAATTCAGATTCAAGTGGAAGATAATAAGTATGTCAATAGTATCAAAGATGCTAAATATGTAAACAACCTCTTTGATAGCAATAAACATGTAACAGACTCATGCATGAATCAGCATTTTAAACTCTAACAAAGTTTTTAATACGTCACTTTTTCTCTGTTCTGCCTCCTTTTGGTATCTCAAACATTTGAGAAAATCATTGCTTCTTTAAAAAGCATGTCTACACTATACATATAAATCCTTTTGAGGAATGACGATAAAGAGAAGATATGGCAATTAAAACTAGTTAACAAGTAGACATTATGCTACTATATATGATGTACTTCTGGGGAGGGAACATATGATGCAATTCTAAGATCTGTTGACTGAATATGAAACCTTTACATTTATTCTTCCCAAAGGTTATATAGCTTTTTTATATATATATTACCAATTAAGTCTATTTTTCTACAGCAGAGGATACAATTCAAATGCTTTTAATCCTATTCTTCTATTGTGTAAACAGTAAATCTCATCTGTGACCCAAAAAAAAAGAAGTTAATCACATCACCAAAACATAGCTTGTTAGTGACAACTATAAGAGCAAATAGAAAAGAAAATGACAATTACCACTGACGTTATTTAAACAGATGAATTAAAACCCTACTCCAATCAGATTGATACCTGTAGATGGTGCAGAATGAATGGAAAAAATATCAACAACAAACTTGTCATTATTGTCATGATCAACTGAAGCCACCTCTTCAGGGACCCAATCCTCTGGCCTCTCAGTTCTTCCACTTCGAATATGCAAAATATATCAAGAGCAGAATACCAAATAAGGAACCTAATCTTTTAAATAAAAAAAAACATAGGCAAAATCATTTACAAAGGAACCTACATAGGTAGGGATAAGTAAGGCCAGCGCTTGTCTTGTGCATAAGCATGTGTCAGAAGTAATCCATATTGCAATACCGTCAATAACGCCTCCCAAAGTGTAACCACATTTGGAGTCCATACCTAAAGCACAAAGTAAAACCTTTTCCATTACAAATTTCTTATATATTGGCACCAGAATCATTACAGAAATTATCTGAATACATTTAATCATTTGCTTTGTATGGAGATATTGCACAACAGAATCTTCATTTCTGATATACCTGTTAATGCTAAAATTTGGGAATATGAATAAAGAACCAGACTACAATGAATAAATAATTAGATAGCCTGTTCTGCTACAATGCCGACATGGTTGTACCAAATTAACATATGGCAGTACATCTATGTAAATATTGGACATCCATCATGACACATACGTTTCCAACTCTCCACCATGAATTATAAAATTCAGGGTTCAAATAGCCCAAACTGAAACTTTATTATCAGAACTGCATAAGGATCTTTATGTGCAGCCAGAAAGTATTTCTTAAAGACAGAAACAAAGCTTTAAATAAGAACACATTCGTTAATTACCTCTAGAATTATGTATAACCAAATATAAGCCCAAAAAGACCAAAAGAGCTCCACTAGCCAAACACCTATATCAGCTATCTTTTTCATCTCCCCACCTTTGGGTACTACAACACAAACTGCATGGATAGGGAAAAGATCAAATGCTGCAGAACCAACAAGCGTTCCAGGACCCAAACCTGTCAAACAAGCCAAATCCCAAAAATGTTAAAAACATTAAAAAAAATTATATGATCAGAATAAGGCACAGAGCAAAGGGGCAATGCATAAATTAATTAAAAAATGGAATGTCAAGAGTTTCCGAAAGTGGAGAATATATGTAACTTATCAACATTTCAATGCTTTTTTTTTCATTTGGTTG